TCTCATCATCATCATCATCATCATCATCATCATCATCATCATCATCATCATCATCATCAATCCTCCTCCCCGGGCGCCGTGCCTGACTTCTCGAATCGCGATGTAACCTTTGATATGTGGGGTTCTTCGTCCTTTTCCGAGTTTGCTCTCTTGGATCATTGCCAAATCAATATCGCGCTCCTTAAGCCTCATCTTGAATTCTCCAACCTTTGTCTTTATACCATCGGCATTCCATTGAAGAAAGCTCAAGCATTTCTTTTCAGATGACTTCTTTTGTTAGGATATATAATCTATTGAAGTGTCAAGACTTGACATAGGAGCCTCTGGCTGTGGGGTTTGGGCATCAATGCATTTCTAACATGTCCAGTTGTTCAGACGTTTTTTGATCTCTTCGTTCGTCATCTTGCAAAGTTCTGGTTTCTTGTGGCAACAATTCCCACACTCAATACACCCCAAGCACTGAGAACCTCCATAAGTTTTACGGATAGTCTCATTGCAACTCAAGCAATATACTTTAGCAGAGCTTGATGAGATTCCTGATGGTTGGTCGCTACTCAGTGGAGGTTCACCTCTGTGGACACAGCATGTCCATTCTTGCCTGGAGCTCTACCTACTGATACCACTACATTTTGGCCCTTTGTGTGTCCTTTCTTCACACCCTCCTGATTACATATCTTAGCTTTTGGTAGATTGGCTTCGCTAAATGCAACCCCACACTCGCTACACCGCACCAGCTCCTCTGGTCCCGGGTTTAGTTCAATGTCATCTGCACAATTCAATCTGATCTTTCTGTATCCAGAGTAGATTGTGGTTTTCCAAGTTTTGATCTGAGGATCAAGAATGCGAAAGTCAGCAACTGGGAGTTCTGCTCCCGTTCTCCAAAAACATGCTGGGACGTGCTTGTTGCCAAAGGGCAGATCTTCTTGATCCCTTCTCCCTGATTGGCAAGTAGAGGTGCCTCTGTGCAGTGACTTTGGTGTCGGCTGCAGAGCTTCCCCATTGGTTGTGGCTGTCTTCGTTGAGAACGGTACTCCCCATCGTGAAGGGGACGGCTTGCCACTTTGAGTCAATGGCTGACAACGGCGTTCTGTTGCGTGCAATCAGATTGATCCATGGTTTCCTGAGAAACAGACAAGCCCGTGTTCGCTTGAATGGAGAAACAAGCAAGAGCCAGAATTTCAAGCAAGGGCTTCCCCTAGGAGCTGTACTATCACCGCTGCTGTTTATATTCTTCATAAACAACCTGGCAGAACCCCCCCCAAACCCTGACTCACAACAACTAACCTCCATGCTGAGCTAAGTACCAGCACCTGAAAGATGTGTAATCTGGGTACTCCTATAAACGGGAACAAAATATCACATGTCGCTGGGACCAGGTTGAGCTAGCGAGACTGCGGTCGGACCATCATTGGAGCTTAAGATGGTATAAGAACTTTGTAAATGAAGAGCTCAGCCCATGTTTCCGAAGATGCGGCCATGAAAAGGAGGATGTCAAACACATGAACAATGGCAATTTGAATGGAGTTATTTGGACGAGTGGAGGTGCCGCTAAGCATATTGACAATGAAGCCGGAAAAGAGCCTCGCTCTAGCTCGAAGATTTCTTCATGGAGTCCGCCAGGCCCAGAAACCAAAAAAATCATCATCATCATCATCATCATCATCATCATCATCATCATCATCATCATCATGAAAGTGATTGACCCCGTGGCCAGAGTGAGCTCTGTGACTGACCTCTGCATGGAGAACTCGTTCAGCTTGAACCTGGCTGCTCTTGATTTCTTGATCTCCTCTAGGGTCCGCCCGCGGCTCAACCGGTGAGCCAGGTCGTCTTGTTGCTGGAAGTACGAGGTCGGGAGGTTTCGCCTACGGGTGAAGAAGGGGAGGGTGGTGAGGTGGGGAAAGGCGGGAAAGGGGTGGCGTGGGGAAAGGGGAGGGGGGTATGAGTAGAGGATGTGGATATGATGAGAAATTGTGGAGATGGGGAGAGAGGATGGAGACAGGGAAAGTGTTGGAATGGAGAAAGGGGTGAGGATTGGGAGAGTAGATACGAGGATGGAAAGAGATGTGGAATGGGAAAAAGGGTTTTGAATGTGGATACGGGTGGAGATATGAAGGTGGATCAAAGGACGGTGAGAGAAGGTGGTAATTCGGAGAGGGATGGTGGGGATATAGGGAGAATGATGGAGATAGGGGGCGGGGAGGGGGGCAGTATGTGAAGATTGGGAGGTGGATGGGAGTGGGGACGGGGAAAAGGGAGATGCAGTCGGGGAGGGGGAATGGGGGATGGGCAAGAAATAACATTAAATTCAAAGAAACTAAAATGTCATATTATTTTTAACCACCTTGACAGAACTGCTAAATGTAAGAAAAAAAGGTTTGGGCACTATAACAAGTAAGGGGCAGTGGTGTGTCTTTTTGGGGGGAGGGGGGATGGGGGCGGGTCTCGAAGAAGATGTATTATCAGAGTTGTTCTGATGTTGATTTCTGTCTACTCTTTGACATCCACAAACCCACAAAGTTGACAAACGGAGGTGCCAACATATGGAAGGATATATAGAACGTAGTGGTGACAAGCGTATCTAAATGGTGAACAATGCATAGACAGCTGACTCCCAGGTGTCCACACGTGGAACAACATCGTGGTGAAATCAGGTGCTCATTAAAACGATAAAAATCGAAAAAAAACGACATTTTTCTGCACGTCAGGCAATGTCATCAACTTTTTGTGTTCATTAAAAAAATTCTTTGTATATTTTACTGACAAACGTTGATCAAAGACACACACACACACACACACACACACACACACACACACACACACACACACACACACACATACACACACAGAGACACATTTTATTACATACCCGATGGGGTTGCAGATAATGCGATAGTTCCACTGGGCCACCTTGGGAACGCCATTCTCCTGACCGTAAAACTTGGTGGGCAGCCACGAGAAGTTCTCCAGTCGACTCTTGGTGCCTGTGTATGAGGTGAACCGGACCTGCACACAAAAACACACACATATAGACGTTCACAGAGCCCCTGCACGGATAGAGACACCCATAACACTGAGGTCTGACGAAGACCATGAATCTGCAGAGGAAAATATTTCTCAAGAGAAAGAAAATATTTAGAGGTTAAGATAACTTGCGGTTTCTGCTACGGCCAATGAGACCAAGTCTGGCACGGAAAAGTTTGCCACATTTTCAGCATCTAGAAGCTCTACTTCCACATCTGAATTTACGTAACTTGCAGGATTCTCTCTTGGTTTCAACATTTCTTCTTGGTGAAGCCTAATATGACTGCTTTTCTCCAACTTGGTCTGTTAAGAGCTAGGCTCTCCCATGTCGAAGAATTTATGTTGAAGCCCTCCAGAGAATTTTCTTGTAGTCTTTGTAGCGCTTTATTGGGTGCGCCAACTTTACGCTTCCCTGAGCAAGGACAGTCCAGAAAAGAATACTGACGTTGGGATTCTGAGATCAGGCGTTCTATGACATGGCCAGCCCAGCGAAGTCAACTCCCATTGACAGAGGTATAGATGTTCAAAGCTCACGAATGCACAGGAAGACAAACCAATAACACACATATATAGACTTTTATAGGACATCTTTGTACAGATAAACACACCCATAACACATAAACTGTTATATCACATCTGAATATTCTCTGGCAGACGAACCCATCACACAGAGATTAAGACTTTCACAGGGTGATGGCTAACGGATAGAGTACTAATAAAGAGATGCTTAACACATAGATACTATAGACTTCCATAGCACACATGTATGCAGATAGGCGTGCTCAGCAAGTCAGAATCTGAGCTCTCAAATCCATGTTTGAGCTATAGGAGCCTGAGAGAGACGTTTATAATTCTTTGAAGAGGTGCTTGGTTTCCCTTAAAAACGAACTGTATCCTTCTTTTCATAAATTTCTTTCTCAGGTGACTGTTTAACTTTTAATCAAGCCTTATGTGCACTTTCGTCTTTAGATTCCATACGTGGACTAGGCGCAAACCGACTAAGCAGTCCTATTAAGTCGTCAAATTTCGAGGTAAAAATAAAATATAGCTCTCGACGATTTTTGACTTAGTGCACACTTCCTGGGTCATCGTTGGAGGAGTCACAGTCGGAAGAGGGGAGGGGGGGGTGCGGAAGCTATGTCTGAAAGGAACAGGAATCATCGGGATATGATCTTCGTGATGCACGGAGACATGGGTGCTATACTTTACATTTACTGTGCTTATTTACCTTGTCCTGCAAATCTTGCCAGCTTGTGGCGTCGATATGATGACGGTCACTCTGGAAGGGTTCATTAAGGGTGTTAGTACTCAGTGTCCAGGATCCTTCCGCCACACACAAGTTAGCCTTGAAGTAGTCACGGTAGTCACGGTGGGTCACGTTCTGGTCCCTGAAGGCGCGGAAATACTCCTGCATCTCCTCCACTTGTTTCTGTTGAATGAGTTTACATCTGTGTATGAGTTTATTGGGTTATTTAAAAGACAGGACCTTTGAATTTAACAACCGTCTCTGGTAGGACGGAGCCAGTATGGTTAGGTGCCTTGGAAACTCTACAAAACGACCCGAGTTTAAGAATGCCCATTCAGGGATTTGAACCAGGGCCACCTGCTCCGAAGTCAAGCATGATACAAACTGAATTAAAGGAACGCCCCTTTCTGTTGGGGAAAAAAGAACGCGATATGTGTCGGAGGTAGATCTAGGGCGGGTGGTGATGTGTAGGGAGTACAGCGTGTGGTGGTGTGTAAAGCGGTCCATACACGCACAAAGGTTTCAGCAACATTTTTTACGTCAAATTATTTGACCTTTTTTGACCGTATATGGCTGATATTGATGTTCTAAAAGTACCGATGTCGCAATTTTGAGTATATAAAAAAAAGAAGATATTTTTGGTGCAAACCATCAAACTTTCGTTTCTTTTTCGTGTTTTTTTTTCGCCTGAAGACTAAAGCAAGAGCCAACGTTGTCAGTGCGTTCATGGCAAGGTCTAGGCACAAACTGATCTATATATATTTAGTGTGTAGGGAGAACATGGGTGGTTGGCGGGTGCTCTGGTGTGGTTTGCTCCTTCTTTCCTATCAAATATCTATCGTCCTTATCTCCCCTTGTTCTTTTTTAAATGTTTGTTACTCTCTTGTAACACCTCTTATCTTCTGGCGCTCATTAGACCTTAAGCAGTTGCGAGCACCGTAAAACCTCTACTAAAAGTAAACTAACTAAAAGTAGGGCAACGTCAAACTGTCAATACTTTTGACGTCAAAAAGTTTGACCAAAAGTTTGTGCGTGTATGGGCTACTTAAGAGGCACGGTATGTAATGGTGGGTAGGTGGTACGGTGTTAGTGATACACACTTAGATTTTGTGAAGGTGGTTCTACAGGGCAGCATATGGAATACAACTTTTTTGTTGATGTGCATAAAAAAAGATTCCAAAGAGAGAGAGAGAGAGAGAGAGAGAGAGAGAGAGAGAGAGAGAGAGAGAGAGAGAGAGAGAGAGAGAGAGAGAGAGAAAGGGGGGAGGGAGGGGGGGGAGCTTGCTTTAGTTGTTTTAAAGCCCTGTAGAAACAATTTGCGCAGCATTCTGAAGGTTTTGAAGGAAAGACTGCTTGTTGGGGTGACCTGGAACTATGGAATACATTCCACAGGAAGGGAGGGGAAATTCGACAAAATGTTTTCACCAGAATATGGGAAGTAACCAAATCGAAGATGCAAGCCAGAGCCCACCTTCAATTGCACTACACTGACTTTTTGCGAGAAATGGATATTCTAAATATGAAGGTTCAGGTTAACCCGTTCGCTGCTTGATCGTGAATTCTGTGTTTTGAAAATATTGTCATGCTTTGGACGATTTTGAAATGGAGAGAAGACGTTAACAGTCATTTCTAGACTCGAATAGTAGAAAAGAAAAAGACATTTTTAAGACTATAAACTGTCCATAGCACGATATTTTTGAAACGTAGAAATGCATATTAATTTACTCCAAGGCCTGCTTTTTAATTCTTCCAAAAAGCCAGAGAAGGTCATGGGCCTGAATATGAAGGTGTTAAACATGGACATATCGGTCATCTCCTCGCTCACCGGAACAGTACCCTGTCTGAGCACTGATGGCGGCACATCTGGAAAGGGGATGTACTCTGTCTCATGGTACTTGCCGTGCTTGAGTGGCATTCTCAGCTTGTAGTCATTGTGACGTGTTCTGAACTCCACTCCGTTCATCACAGCGACGAACTCACCTACAAGGGGTGGGGGGTGGGGGGAGGGGGGGCGTTAGTGATCTCAGCTTTCACTGTAATGTTGTAACTGTTTGCTTTGTTTACTGGTGTAAAAAACCCTGAAAGCAAATGAACCGAAAAAATGATCATTTAGCGGTAGCAAAGAGTAAGACTAACGGACAGAAAGAAAAGACGGAAGTAAAAGGAATAGAATCTACCAGTGGCATCCTCCAACCACCCACATGTTGTAACTGTTTGACAGACCATACACACAGATTTGTGTATTTGGGGAGCTCTTGATATCTTGATAGACAAACAAAAAGATAGATAGATAGATAGATAGATAGATAGATAGATAGATAGATAGATAGATAGATAGATGGATAGATAGATAGATAGATAGATAGATAACAAGAAACAAATCTTTTCAGACAAATAGACAGATATCTGAGGACGCTATGGTCAAGTCGACGCTGCTCACCTAGTCCGACTGTTCGGTCATAGTTGGCGTGATCGTGCATGGAGAGGGCCCCGTTGCCGATATGGTTGTCTTCATAGAACGCGCTGGTACCCTCATGGTACAGCCGCACTGCCTTGATTCCGGACGAGCCATCTGAGCGAATTCTGGGGAGAAGTAATGAGATAATAATATATAGCATTTGCATTGCGCAAATTCCCCGCTCAACAGCAAGCTCTATACTCTTTACAATCTACATGTATATTCCTGGGAAGCATACATATACGGGGGGTTAGGGGTGTGGATGTGTGAGGAGTAGATATTTTATTCAGTGTTTAAAGCCATTGGCCCACATTAAATAATACATACATATTATACAGAAGAGACTGCCGTGAAAACAGCATAAATGACATACACATCAATAACATTTTAAAATCGTGTTGAGGAGTTAGCGATGAATATCATGTAAAAGGAAAGACGTATTATTGTTGTTAAGTTTGTTGTTACTGCTGTCATCTTTAAAAAATTTTTTTTTTACTGTTGCTGTTGCCTGCTACTGCTGCTGGTTTTACTGTTGTTATTGTTGTTGCCTTCATGGCTTTTGGTAGCGATAGTACTGGCGAGACCAGGGGAGACAAAATTAGAAACTCAGTAATCCGAGAAATGGTGGGCACAAATAATAGATATCATGCATCACACCCAACACCAAAGAATCAAATGGTTCGGACATCTCCTACAATTACCAACACACCATCTAGAATGGCAACAAGCTAGAGGGCGACCGAAAAAGACCTGGATAGATGGAGTCAGGGAAACATTTACCACCCACGGCATCCCCCTGACCCAAGTTCTCCGGCTGGCGACAGAGAGACGTCTCTTTCTTCCCGCGACACCCAAAAGGGTATAAGCGGCGGATAAAAGTAAAGTACTGGCTTTAATGGTGTATCTCCTGCGGCCACCGGCCGTGTACATAATTGTTCTGTATTTTAGGACTCTGTAGCTGGAACCGTTATGCCCCACCCCTAAAGCAACAAGCAACCACAGGGAAACACCAAGCAAGGTTATTCGATGGCAGATCAAAACACGAAACAAAATTAGTAATGCAACCATTTCATCTCAGTATTCGATCAAACTGCGTTAAGTGATCTCAAGTGAAAAAGAAACCCGACACATTTTGTATGATCATGTATGTGTTCTATAGTTTTCAACTCTTGGTGGGTGAAAATTAAGGGTACCTTTTTCCATGCATTTTCATAGGACTCATTGAGAAACAGACGGTGGGTGGTTGGTGAGTGCTCTGCTGTGGTTTGCACCTTCTTCCAGTCAAACATCTATAATCCTTATCTCTCCTCCTCCTTAACTTTGTGTGCTACTCCCAAGTAACACCTCTAATCTTTGACAGTTATATGACCTATCTGTGTTAAAAGTACCTTAAAACTCTTACTAAAACAGAAACTAAAGAAAGAGACGGGTGTGCGCGTGGTCAAACCAAAGCCAGTGGCCAGAAGAGCTCACCTTTCCTCGAGAAAGAGCTGCGCTTGCATTATCTGGGTGGTCATCGCGTCAATGGTGCTCTCCAACTGCTTTTGTTTGGCATTCAATTCCGCCAGCGTCGGCGCCGGGGTCTGGGCACGGGGGGCACTTTTTGCCATGCTGATAAAACCTGCAAGCAGGGATCAAGGGGTAATGTTGTCTATTGTGTCAATGAGCTCATAGATCAATTAATTACAATCAGCCACGGCCAAGAATAATAACAGTAGTAATAATAATAATAATAACAATAATAATAGTAATTATAATAATAACAATAATAATAATAATAATAATTATAATAATAATAATAATAATAATAATAATAATAATAATAATAATAATAATAATAATAATAATAATGACGAGTGCTTTCAAATACAAGTATGAGCTCAGAACGTTTTGCACCATTGGCATGATTACTGAGAGTAAAACCTCACACACACACAAAAAAAACTTTTCATATGAACACGTAAATCAGTTCAACCACATAAGGAAGCACTTTCTCAGTCATAGATTGATTATATGCCTATAAGGACAGCAGTGAATTGACGAGTGGCTGGCTGTCAGGACGAGCCCAAGGTGAGTGTGTATACGTCAGAAAATGTCACTCAACGAAAAGTCGCCTTTTGCTTATAAAATCTCACTGTTCCCTTGCCCCTCCCCCCTTTACAAATAAATAAGAACAAGGGCAGCCCGTAATTTTTACTTTCACTCCCGCACATAGATGCACTGTTTCTGGAAGTCAAATGGCTGTATTGTATTTTTTGCTGTGAATCAAACACAAGGCCACTAAAATTGTCGCAAATCAATTATTTTTCAGGAACATATAAAACTTAATTGCAAAACAACAGGTTCTCTAGACACCTCCACGCGAATCGAACTCTTGTCTTGAGCCTGCTATGGCAGAAAAATTAAGCTTTTCCCCTGACAGTTAAAAAAACCCAGATACTGACATATCAACTAAAAGAAATTGGACAAACCTTGATCTCTACCCAAGTTGCTTTAATAAATGTCACATTTTGTAAGGATTTTTTTCTGGGATACTCTCACGCCTAATCTGGTTGATTTTGGATGAACTGGCTTGTCTTCGTTTTTCCTTTATAGTTCAAATGGGCATACTGCCCTTTGGGGATAAAGTAACCCCACCCCACCTCTTCAAACGTGCCCAAAGTAATATCATTTTAAGTGTTTGTTATTTTGAAAACATATTTAGTGTGTGAGTCTGAGACTATACCAGGGGGGGGGGGGGGGGTCAATAAGCCCTTGGTCTGGTAATGAACGAATCATGGTAGAGTAATGAAATTTAGCCAGCCTTAAGACAATTTCATTGGAACACAACATGTATATTTTCTGGAAAATCTCTGACAATAATAAGGCACTAGTCACTGTGGTCAATGAAACCATGCATAAAAACATATTTGTTTTTCTTTACTGAAGCTGTGCCATGGAGCCTGTTGAATATCGTTCAGTTATCAAGCTTTTACACTTGCAAGGAAAATCCCCTTTGGGAATTTTTCAGGAAATGGTCCAAGTTAATGGTGACAAATGTCCTCGTTATAATACTGTAACATAGTGGGTAAGAAATTTCAAGTCTGGATTTATGTCGGTGATGGATGAAGATCGTGAAGGGTGCCCATCCTTCGTGGTAACTGAAGAGAATGTAACCACAGTGGAGGAAAAGGTTCTACTCGACCGATGTATAACTGATAAACAGATCTCAAGTGAAGCGAGAATCAGTGTAGTGTCAATTGAAACGATTCTCCATGATCTTCTTAACATGGATAAGGTGTCTGCGCAGTGACAAGTGAGCAAAAGAAGCAGAGAGAGTTGAGTCCTGCAAAACTCTCCTTCGAATTGAATCCAATGAAACAAATTTCTTTAAAACCATGGATTTATTATTTTGATCGACAACAAAAATGTCCTCCATGCAATGGAAATCCCCTCTTCCCCCTCTCAAAAGAAAGCAAAGGTAGCACTGTCTAGTGGAAAGGTCATTCTGTCGTGTTTCTGAGATTGTGCAGGTATAATTTTGACTGATTACATGGAAACTGGAAAAACAGGTACGTGAGACTACTACTCGGGTTTGATGATAAAATTGTGCTCCGAATTGGTGAGAAAAAGGCGAGGAAATCTCCGTAAAAGGGGTCCTCCTACTGCATGACAATGCCCCTGCGTACTGGGCACAACAGGCAGTCTTGACAGGAGAACAGTGCGGCTTTGAAATTTTGCCACACCCAGCTTATTCACCAGACCTAGCACCCTCAGGTTTTTTTCTGTATCATAATCTATAGAAAAACCACTCAAAGGATGTCGTTTCCATGACAACGAGGACGCCATTGAAGCCTTTGAAGACTGGTTTGGGGCCCATTCTGGGTCATTTTTCTCTCAAGGACTTTTGAAGGTCAAAGAGAGGTGGCAGAAATGTGTATCTCTGCATAGTTACTATATAGAGAAATAAAAGTATGTGTCAAGTTACAAAGCTCTATCTTTATTCCTTCATATTTAGACCAAAGACTTCTTGAACCCCTCGTACATGTAGCACACATCGCCTCCCGGCTAGGTAAACGACATGGCATGTATTACTTACCAAAGAGTGAGCATAAAACGAAGAGCAAATTATATATTTAGTTGCTTGAAGTATTGAAATATGATCAGCAAGGCGGTAAAGTTTATAATCCTCTTGACTTCTTTGGAATTGTAAATCTCAAGTCATTCGTCATACCTCACTTAAATAACTACCAAAACAACAACAACAACAACTACAACAACAACTACAACAACAACAAAAGCAATAACTACTACTACTACTACTACTACTACTACTACTACTACTACTACTACTACTACAATGTGGATGTTCGAAAATTCAAACACGTCGGTCTTACCAGCAAGGCAAACTGCCAAGAGCAGTGAAATCTTCATCGTGGTGAAATTGCTGTAGTCTCTTCCGCAAAGGAAAGTTGATTTACTACAACAATTCCTTCCGTTTATATACACATGCAAATCTATATCAGTAGCCCTTGTTTGTTTTTGTTCAGCCCCCCACCCTCTCAAAAACAACAACAACAAGAAAACAAACAAAACAAAACAAAACAAAAACAACAAAACAAACCCCAAACAAACAATCGAAGAAAAAAAACAGCTTAAGAGATAACGAAACAGATAATTAAAAAACATCACAGGCGTCGTTTGGGGGAGAAATAGGGGTTGGGGGTTGAGGGTTGGGAGAGGGATGTGAGGGCTGGGAGTTTGGGGGGTGGGGTGTCGTGGTTTGGGGAAGCCAAGTTCGAGTGAGCAATAGTGATTAAATAAAGATGAAAATGCTTTTATCGGAAACTTTGGCAGCTTCAACTGAGAAAAGGAGAGAGTATATCTGGCAGATAAAGCAAAAAGAACGAGAGTTTTCAGGTCGAATAAAATGAATGGAGAGATTATTGTCTCGATCATCATCATTATCCTGTCCCAGATTTGCGACAGACATCGGCGATCATGGTTCTCCATTCATTCTCTAGCTCGGATGCTCTTAAAAAAGCTACGTTTCCATGGTTTTTCCCCGTTACCCATTTGTTTAGGTTACCTAAGTAGGTTGCTCTGAGCCTAACCGTGTCTCGTTTGCCTTCAGTTTTGTCAGTGAGAGCTAGATGTTCAAGACCTTTATGTCTATTCAGGTGTCCCCAAAACTGCATTGGTTGTTTCCTGATTGTTTTTAACAGTGAGCGTCCCACGCGGGCTTCATCAAGCACTACCTCATTTGATTTCTTTTCCTTCCACGATATTCTCAACAGTCTCCTAAGAAGTAAAGTTTCTGTTCCTTCTGTTTTATTTCCACAGTCTTTAGTGATTGCCCAGAATTCACAGCCATATAGAAGGGTAGATCATACATAGCATTTCAGAACTTTCATTTGGGTAGCCATAGAGATGTTTCTATTTCACAGGATTGGGCTCATTTTATTGAAACTAGCCTTAGCCATTGCATTTCTCCAGTTTATTTCTGTTTGGCATCAGATGTTATTTCCTAGATATTTAAACAGTTGGACTTGTTTGATTTTTTCACCATTGCTAATGACATACATTCTCTTTTCTTTACATTCAACCAGTGGCATCGCGTGGGTTGCAGACAAGGTGGTGCAGAATTGGAAAGTGCACAAATGGGCAATAGGCTTACTTGCTACTATTAAAATTGTAATGAGCAGTTGGCGGGCGCTTTGGTGTCGTCTGTTCTTTCTATTGCTTTCTGTGAGTCTCTCTGTGCGTGTTTGTGTGTTTGTGTGTGTGTGTGTGTGTGTGTGTGTGTGTGTGTGTGTGTGAGAGAGAGAGAGAGAGAGGGGGAGAGAGAGAGAGAGAGAGAGAGAGAGAGAGAGAGAGAGAGAGAGAGAGAGAAAGGCAAAGGGAGAGTGAGTGTGATTGATGACCAAACCTTGTCAGTGTCTGATCGATCAGTAAAAAACAGACTTGTAATGGAAACGGTACAATTTCTTTTACTTATCATTCTACGTACAGAAAAAAAGCGAACATTTCTTAAGCTCAAAATCCCGCGACAGATGAGGACCAAGCTCTTTTATGCGCACTTTCTCTTCCAACTGTAGCCTGCTGAATGGCACAAGACGGCAAAGAAGCAAAGCGTTAACGTGATTCATCTAGATCTAGATTTTTAGAGAAAGTCAGTTAGAATCTGCAGGATATCCAGTAATCTAGATCTATCGATATTTACAACTGTTTCTAGATTTAACAGCATAAAAGCTGCAATAAAGTGAAACAATACTAACAACTCACTATGCTCACAATCTGAGAAGTTTTAAAGATTTCTAATTACTTCGTGCAGAACAAACAACCAGACTCAATTTGAAAATTTACCTTAACAGGTCTTGCTACACAATAGAGGGCGACAACAATTTCGATACCCATTCTTCTTTGAGTTACCGTAGACTCTACTAGTCTTCTAGTGTAGTAGATAGGCTAGCGGTAACTAGGATCAAATTTTTAGCTTGCACCAAATTGGTGCTGCAAACTGGAGTTTCACGCACCTTTCTTCTTGTGCGGGAAGGACGATACATAGATTTCTCTACAGTGACAAAAAATAACTTTGGTGCAAAGATTTTCCTTGCTCCCAGCAGACACTATCGCAAGCGATGCGACGAGCATAAACCATCCTCGTTGTCTGTCTCTTCGCTGGCGCGCGCGCAGCCAGCGGGTGACGGGTCGCAAGGATGTAGGCTTGTACTAGTATGTAGATCTAGAGCACTGACTGGTTTAGAGTAATTAGAAAATGGGGGAGGTGAAGGCCAGGGTTAGGTGGAGCGCTTGTACCAATTGCACCAATGGTACCCCGCCACTGCATTCAACAATAATCCTTTACGTTCACTTTCTGTAACAACAATAATAGTATCTTGAAGCGATTGAAGATCCTGTTCTGAGTCTGCTATTAAAACTGTGTCATCGGCAAATCTGATGTTATTAATATTTTCGCCATTCCCTTTGAGACCGGGACATTCTTCTATGTGTCTAAGGATTGTTTTACTGTACATGTTAAAGAGGTCTGGTGACATAACACATCCTAGCCTCAGTCTTCTTCTAATCTGTTTACATTCACTTCACTGTATTCTCCATTATTTCGTACAGTAGCGTTTTAGTTCCAGTAAAAATTCCTGATAATTCTTAGATCTTTCCCATCTATGCCTAGCTTTCCCAGTATTTTAAATAGCTCATCATCATGTCTAGCTTTATCGAAAGCCTTTGAATAATCTATGAAGTATGAATACATATCTTTCTGTGCTTCAATACATATTTCCATTAATAATATTGTTAAGGTTAATATAGAGTTTCTGGTGCCCTTGTCTGGAACAAAGCAGAATTGTGTTTTAGATATCTCTGGACTTGAACTTTTTCTCAATCTTCCCATTAGTACCCACAGCAATGTTTTTGTAAAATGACTCATAAGGCTAATTGTTCTTTGCATATCACGCCCAGTGGCCCCTGGTGTTTGAGGTAAAGCTATAAAAACTGACTTCATCATATCTTCTGGGATCTCACCGCTGTCATAAATAGAATTTAAGAGCTTTGTTGTTATTTCAATGCCTAGTTCTTCAAGCACGACAATCACTTCAACTTGAATGTTATCTGGCCCTATGGCTTTTCCTTGTTTAATTTTCCTAATGGCAGCTTGTACTTCCGTTTTCAGTATTGGTGGTCCATTTATTTCAATCTTTATTACCGGTTTTTCTCCTTTATTATTTTTGAAAAGTTCTTCTTTGTATTCTGACCATCTGTTTAAGACATCCCCATTATCCATTAAAATATCTCGTCTTTATTATCTTATGCATCCCGTATTTGAGCATCCTTTTATCCCACTAACTTGTTTGATTTCGGAAAGCATGTATTTGCTGTCTTTGGTTTGGTTCTTCTCTATGTGTTGACACTGATCATTTATCCATGTTTCTTTTGCTTCGTTGCATTTTTTCTTTATTTCCCTGTGTAAAATGTTGTACTTTTCCACTTTTGATTTAGCCTGCCTCTCTTCCATTAGTTTTAATACATGTATGTCCTGGGTAACCTATTTTGTATTTGCTCTTTTAACTTTTGGGGGAATATTTTCTTCCACACCATCCATTATTGAGTCTTTCATTTTCCTTCATAGTTCTTCCGATTTAGTAATGTTCCATGACTATCTTTACATCTTGTGATTTTAACGGTTTCATTGCCTTATCAAAGTCTTCATAACATGTCTCCACTTCCTCGTTGTCATGCTCTGATGTTGGTGTATATATTTGGATGACACCTATGTCAAAAGGTTTTCCTTCTAGTTTAACCACAATGACTCTACCTGACACTCCCTAAAAACGTCCGATGCTCTTTGTTGTGGCTTCGTCAAAACAATTTCGACTCCTCTTTCATGGGTTTTCCCTCCTAATATACAATTGTTTTGGATCCTCTTTTAATCAAGCCTGCCCCCTCCCATCTAAGTTCTGAAAGGCCTAACATATTTAGCTTCAATCTATCCATTTCCTGCTCTAATAATCTAATTTGCCTTTCTGGTGTACTCTCACTTTCCATGTGGCTATGTTAAGTTGTTTGATTCTAGTTTTGCAGCTAGTAGCTGGATGACGATCGGGCGCCACCTGCTGCCCGGGGCGGTCCGTACCGGGGGGGGGGGGAGTTCAGAGCTGGATCATGAACCCCCTTAACGCTGTTATCAAAGAAATAAATGTTCTTTTTCTTTTCCATGATTATTCGTGGGATATTACAGTAATGGTTTCCCTTTGCCCACTACTGGTTTGTGTACAATTTTGTCTGCTAGCCTTTGTCATCCACTGACAACCCACAAGGCAGTGGGGGCTTTGGTAGAATTTATGGCGCCTCCCGTCGCCAAGATGGTCACTTCTTTGAGTGCCACCAAGGTTCTCCTCTACTCTCCACGGCCATCTCCCATTTGGTCCACGATTGCTTAGCAGCTAACCACCATATCTGGAGGCCTTTCTCCTATCCACCACCTGGGGACGCGCTGGGTTGGGTATGAGGATCCAATACTAAGTCTCAGTACTTGCCTCGATAAAATGTAAGATAGAAGAGAGTTTTACTGTACTTCAGATAAAGAAAGGGGGGCCTTGAGGTTATCGTATTGATAAATTAATGATAAAACATGCCCCAGGCTTCTGTCTCTGTCCCCTCTCTGTTATCTATGTCCCGATTGAGATGGGTGGTGTGAGTGCTTAATGATTGACGAGACATGAACACACATCGAAAGTATGGCACTTGAGCAAACTAGTTAAGATGTAAGGCAATGTTACTAAAAAGACAACAACCAAACAACAACAAAAACAAAGAACAAAAAGAAAAGGCAAAAACGCCGAACACGAGTGTTGTTTTAAATAACCAAACCAAGACAATAATAAAACAAAACCAAAATATCACAACAGAGACATATAGAGAAAAATTGCGGATCTAAAATTGAGCCCCCAAAAACTGGA